GGAAATGACAAAATAAATGCATCTGGCTTTTTATTTTGTGTGCAAGAACCCTAATTATGTTTAATTACCACCTTTTTGCACAAATACAAGGGCTCTTATTTATAATTAATAGGAAAAATGCATAAATTACAAAAAGGCACACAGTTTAACTACTAACCATGTGCATTTTAAGCATATATATATTTATATATATCATGCATGAATCATTTTCAGCACACTCCTCTGCCCACGCTTCTCTCCCACAGTTTGATCCAGTCCGGTCCAGCACCACACCGGGCCGCAGCCACAATGTTACCCTTCAGATCCATTTACAACATAAGATAAGGAGAGCAGAGGCACATTGTTGAAAAGGTGCAGTATTCCCTTTCCATGGAGCCAGAGAGCAAAAACAATAAGCCAATGTGGGTTCAGAATCAATTTGGAGAGTCAAGCAAAAGTCCTTTGTTGTGCTCGCTGTATGGAAAAAGGGATAATGCAGCTTCCAAAAAAAAACCAGATCAAAGAGAGTGACCACCACAGCATACAGAGAAAAGAGGGTCAAACTGCTCAGTAGAGTGGTCACAAAGCATCAGCTCCCCGAGCCGAGCCCACAGGGTGGCAAATGAACCCGGCGACCGCTCGGCAACCACCCACAGAGATAAAAGAGCGTGGACAAACCACGAGCTCAATGAGAGACTGAACAGACAAACATCTGAAGTTCAAATGAGTCAATGGATTGACAAGAAATAAAAATAAACAATATCTAAAAAAAAAAACCCTGAGTGAACATGTAAAAATGAGGAAGAGAACAAAAGCATGGCAGACCACCAAAAGCACCTGAGAGCTGAGAGATGGACTAGCATTTGGGAAGAGCAGGTGTACATACCTCCTGAGGAAAGACAACAGCCAAAATCATGGGAACAAACAAACAAACAGGAGGAAAAGGAAACAAAAAAAATCAAATTAAATGATAAGGAATTATTTCACCACAGTCCTGTTATCTGGTTCCAGGGAGGCTTTGATGCACTGCTTTACAGCTTTAATTTTAGCAGACTGAATTTTGTATTGAGGGTCAACAGAATTTACATTTCTGTTGTTGTTACATCAGTCCACAAGGGGGAGTTCTACTGTAAAGCACTACATTCAAATACTGCCTCCACTTGGGTCCATTTCTGTTATATCCAATAATATACCTTCCACCTGGATTGTTTTACTCAAATCTGACAATTTGTTGTAATTGGAGAAAGAGTTATTCTTCACTCCCTTGGTGTAGATGGTTGTAAAGATTCACAACGATTGAAAGATTCAATTTCACTTTTCATGCTTTTTTATTAAATTCATTGTGAATCTGTACAATAGAGAGATCTCAGAGGAAATATAGGATGAAGAGTTCAGAGGTCCAGGGTTGTGCTTTTCTGCTCGTGGAGTGATTGCAACAAGTAAAAGTACCTGCTGGCATCCTGTGAAACATTTGTTAGGACACAGGTACCTGTGTTTGTGCACCAGTTTGTGCGCAACATATATTAAAGTCAGAAATTAGCAAAAGATCAAAACAAAATGTTCTCTAAAATGCCACTAAACACTTTAATTAGGGTTAAAAAAAAAGTGTGTGGTGCAGACACTTTATTTACAAGCTATGAAAGTCAGTATTTGTACATGTTAGTGTATGAATATGCCCTGGTCTAAATAATTCAAAGGGTTCCACATGTAGTGGTCTGATCTCAAGGCTACATTCATTATACATTAAAGCGGGCAGACACGTCTTCAGAAGATCTTGGGTGTTGTACACACCTATACACATGTGCCAATAGACACCTTCAAACACATGCGCATACACACGGGTTATTGATCTCAGGGGAGACGTTATCCCTTCATGGAGGACTTTCAACCTTGTGCTGCTATGAAGCACAAAACAAAGTAATCTATCGGCACAGCCACACTGACAGGAGCGCCATTATTTTGGTATGTGCCTCATAGACTGTGGACATATTTCCAGCGTCACTCACCCAGTTTTAGCAGCCAGCCCTCTCTGTCTGGGTTGAAGAAAGTGTGTGTGAGGTCGTTGCCGTCATCTTCTGGGATTTTGAAAGGCTCATTCTTGATGCTGTCATACAGATTCTATAATAAAAGAAAGTTGACCGTGAATACAGAGCAGGTTTGAGGTTAGAGGACTCACAAGGAGAGAAATACAAGCGCCACAGTGAGCTTTAAAGCCATACTGACCCTGAGCAAGTCTTCAGGTAGGTCTCCTCCATCGTTGATTCCTCTGTTCATGGAGATGAATCGTTCCACAGTAGGCTTGTCCTTCACATTCGGGTTGTGGAGGCTGGTGTTTAGCATGATGATGGCAAATGACAGGATGTAACAGGTGTCTGTAACACACACACACACACAAACAAGAGTAATCACACCATAAGAGAGGGATGAGCTTTATGATAGAGCAAAAGCCATCTTGCTGTTTAGCATAAAAATGCTCCCGGTGTTTAATGTAGTATTTAAATATGAATGTAAATTAGCTGAGCTGAAAGGACTGCACTTAGGGGACCACAGTCAACAGAGAGGAACAGATAGGCGAAGCTTCGTTAGCGAGGAGTGGGTGGGAGTGAAAGGCTGCGTGTGGGCAGCTAAGTATGCATGTGTGTTTCTGGATGGGCCCTCTAATGTGTGTGTGTTCGCTAAAAGACAACGTGGCCAGCACACGGCTGACGCAGCTGCACTTTATCTGGCCCGTTGAGAAGTCCTATGCATTATTCACATCCATCTGCATCCATGTTAGAGGCGGTCGGCTGTCTGCTCCGGGCATTATTTCCCAAAAGCCAGACATCATTCCATAACACAACTCACCTCAGCAGACTTTGTGTCTGATAAATAAAGCAGTTCAGATTTCTCTCTATTAGGTCTCAGTGCAATATGGAAAATTAAGTGATTCAGGCAGACGAAAGTTTATACAGTATAGTACCTTGAAAATTAAGAATTTGACAGTTAAAATGACCTATTATTATTATTATTCTGATTAGGAATTTAAATTATAGTAACTGTATTTATCAACTGCTGAAAAAGCTGGGCACCAAACTGAAAGCTGGGCTGTATGGGATGACTATGGCTACCTGTGGACTGGAAAACGCCAGGGTTGCACTGGCAGTAGCGCTGAGCGAAGGCCTCCATCATGCGGTCGATCTTCTGAGCTTCTCCCGGTAGCCGAAAACTCCACAGGAACTGTCTGTCAGGGGACACAGCTCAGTAGTCAGCAACAGAAACATCACTTCCACTGTGAAAATGCTAAATGAGCTCAAGGCACAAGACTGAAACTAACAGCTGCATCTTTACAATTTGCAAATAAGGAGACTCAAAATATTAGACTTAAAATATGGACTATATCGCACAAAACTATAAGGATCTATTTAAGCACTTAGTGAGTATGTAACAGACCTGAGGATGCATGTTCCTGGGGAGATATTGTCTTACCTTAAGGCCTGCACCAGGTTGAGGTCTGTGAACTCGTGAAGCTCCACAAAGGCATGGAGGACTTGGATATTGAAATCGTCTCTACAGGAGACAACATGACAAATATCAAATAAAAAATCTTTTTATCTTTTATCTTTTATCTTTATTATACACAAAAGTGTAGGACTGATTATCTTCACTATCAATCAATCTGCCAATTATTTTCTCAAATAATAGACTCATTGGTTGGTGTATAAAATATCAGAAAATAGTGAATAATGGCCATTACACTTTCCTAAAGCCCAAAATCAATTCTTAGTTTTGTCCAGAACCCAAAGAGATTACATTTTCTACCACATAAGACAAAGAAAAGAAGCAAATCCTCACAACAAGAAGTTTGAATCTGGGAATGTTGAGGGCGTCCAGTAGGATATTTTTTTGTTTTTGTTTTAAATTTCAAACTTGTAGTCTTCAGCCTCAACCGACCCTGAGGGCTCAAATCAGGGTGTGATCTGGCTCACAGGGGCTTATGAGATCTGTGACACACTGCATTCTCCAATCTAGCTCAACAGAAGAGGAAAAACACCATCCACCTCCCTCTCATTTATCATCTAATCTTCATCATGACATCATTCTCGACCTCCGTGCCCTTCAGAGTAAACTATCTGCGCAATGGGATCATGGGAAGGCTCTAAGGAGCTCTCGTTGACTGAGTCATATCCAGTCACTACTGGTCCCAGTGGACGAGTGACCAATCGTATCTCAAGGTCCCGCACTGCTTCAGCCCTTCCTCACAGAATCAAAAACACTTGGACAGCTTGATAACTGAGCATTCATCAACAGCCTGAGCTCCTTTTCCTGGTTCGACCTGCAGACCACACCCTAACTGTAACACTGCCTGCCCTATAGTGCCCGAGCAGCGCATACCATACATCAGGTCCATTACGATTTCCTGTATTATGCGTTTGCTCTCACCAGGATGGTCTGAAGGATGATTCAAACACGTGTATCCCAAGTGTGAGTCTCTCGGGCGGTACTTGTGAATGAGTAAGATAATAAGAGACAGATGGAGGTTATTGAGTAACGGACATAGTCCTGAGAGGATGATCTAAATGTGGGACCAATAAACTGTGTTTGGGAAAGGATGGGCGTGTGCCTGACCAAGAGGAAACACGGCAATACGGAAAATATGCACTCGCTGTTTGACGCTTTTGTCAACCACGTGGATGGGTGCTGGTGAATGATGATAGAGCGCACGAGAGGGAGATGGTACGATGGAAGGGAAAAAAACAGTAATTTAGTCTTCATCCTCACCTCTCTCCGAGGTAATCTCCAATGGCGGTTTTGTTGAGGCCCTCACCCTTGTAGAGGAACTGAGCAATGTCATCACTGGTATTTTTCAGCAAGTCATTCTCAATCAGGAACTGGATCCCCTAAGAAAGAGACAGGCCCCCAGGTTACATCCTGCTTACGAGAATAAGTAGGATAAATCACATTTCTGAAGAATCACACCGGTTACTTCCACCTACCTTTTTGGGGTCCATGTTAAATTTCTTTCGGCCCATGGCCACCTGTTTATTCCTCTGCATATTTTTCCTGGAACATAAGAACGGAGTTTGTTGTTAGTTTCTCTGTGTGTGAACATAATAAATATATAAACAAACTGTGGTATGTAAGTGTTTCAAGGGTGCAACTAACAATTATTTTAGTTATGGATTAATCTAAACATCATTTTCTCAATTAATAGATGAAACAGTCCAAAATCCAAATATATCAACATCATTGTACTTATTCGTCAAGGCTCAGACCATTGCAACAAATGTAGTCACTTCATTTCCTGAAAGTGTCTTTCCCATTAACATGTCCCATTTGTTTGGCAGAGACCGGCCTTTCCTCCCCCTCGACTGTGATGACAAAGTGTTGATAAAAGTGTTTAACATCATGCATATGGGAACGTCTCATTTCTCAGGCCTGAGTTATTCTGGGGTCAAAGTGCACTCCAATAGTCCGCCATCGCCATGGTTACATCTCCATCCCCAGCCGGTGAGAGGTCACCACTTCTTCCCACTGATTCACTCACACCAGCATTCCTTCGCCTTTTGTCTGCCAAAGTCCAACACTCGACTAAACAGACGCAGCCTATCATGTACCTTCTTCGATAAATGGATCACAGGGAACTTTGATCACAAGGTGCTGTAACCCTTAATGGGTTTAAGATCCAGGAGAGAGTGCTTTAGGATTATTCGGTACGATGATGGGATCCCTATCCACTTGAGTAGACCAAACCCACGCACTCCCTCCCCTGGGAACATGCATTGTCTGTACACCCACTGCATTATTCAGTGAGGCCGCCCATCTTGGGGGTGTGCCTGATGAAACATTTAAACTGCCTTAAAAGCATAGCCAATTTGGGGAGCATATTTGGTGTGACGGGATGGCCCTTTGGCCATCAAACATTAATAATTGACAGCTTTATTTGCTAAGTTAATAGAAGGCAAACAGCAAGTCAGTTTAGGCAAAACAGAGTGGGTCATGTGTGAGTTGAGGCGAAGGGTTGGGTCCCTTTCTCTTACCTCTCCTCAGTAGAACCCAGGTTCTCGATCTCACTTGTCACTTCTGCTATCTCATCCTTCAGCCGCTGCAGAAAAGACACAAGTGTTAGTCTTATAAATGTTGCGAGTATGACGTAAGATTAAATTCATCATCGTCTACTAATTTCCCTGACACCAGGAGGCGTGGAGCAACTCAAACAACATGCAAAGTGTCTAAAAACACACGAGGGCTCTATTAAACAGTGCTGAGGGAGAGGCTATCATGTCCCAATCACATGTGTTTGTCTGTAAGTGAGGTGGACTTTTATCACATACTGTAAATACTCACATCAGCGCCATCAGCTTAACAAAGAGAGCAGAGTCACTTCTGAATACACTGCCACACACCCAACTTTCCTCAGTTCCCTTAAACTAAAAACGGATAGTAACTCTCTATATCTCCTATCGGCGAATCTGTTTGCATTTGAGTCCTCTGGTAAACATTCTGAATGTGATTAGGCGGAGAACATTCGGGGATAACCTCAATACAAATGGAGTAAGAAAGCATAAAAGTGGATTATATTTTGTGTGGCGCTTTAGTGATTAATGGCCTTAGAGGCAGATTTAGTCAATCAAGCCAGAGCTGCTGGTGCCAGACTGGCGCAGTAAGGGCATGGTAGAGGTTAGAGGATGGAAAGGGTGACGTGAGCTTGATAAAAGTGTGGAATAATAGACTGTAGCCTAAGAGAAGTCCTATTTACAGACAGAGCTTAATATTGATCATGAGAGGCATCAACTAAAGGTTACAATCATCGCGCCTCTTCATTCATACCAAGCTACAGTGTTAGTATATCATTTCTTATGTGTAATACCAACTCACTATAGGCCAAACCACAAAGAGAACATCTGTGTTTTCAAAGCCTGCGCAATCACAACACATTCCTCAGATGTTTGCCTCCGCAAACAAAGGCAGTGCTCATACAGGAAAGCGGGTGGCTGTGGTGGTGGTGGCTGTGGTGGTGGTGGTTGGGGCGTGGGGGGTCCTTGACATGCCGGACCAGCAGAGGAGGGTGTAGGAGTCGAGGAGGAGAGGGGTCAGTGTGCACACTACAGAGGAGGTAAGGCAGAGAGGAGAGGACAGAGGCAGCGGTGGTGGCCAGAGAGGGGGTTAAAGGGGCAGCGACGGTAAAAGAGAGGGTATCGGATCACGCTTTGTCTGTCAGGGCCAGCAGAAGTTGCCCACTGGGACATCAGGAGGCCAAACCTTCAACCGGCAATGACAGTCTGCCACCCCTGTGTATCATTTGCTTTCAGAGATGGTCACCGACTCACAGAACTGACCTGAGAAGCTGGCTTTGATACTCAGCTGTCCTCTGAGGTCAAGGCAAAAGCCCAAAACATTATCACGAGCTGTGGACAGGAATCAAACAAACCACTTTATGGAAATTTGGCCGAGCTGATTTGAATCCTGGATCTCTTTGGACATCAGAGAGTACACGAGGGATATTCAACTGGCTGCATGAGCCTGTTCCTCATAAGAGCATAATCCTATTTCATCTGTATGCAGAATGATTTGCTTGCCTTATTTTTATACTCACATTATATTCAAAACCACATTCCAATAAAAACAACCAAAAGAGATTACTTGTAAATGGAGGTCTTTGGTGACACTACAGAACTAAGCAATAAACTGAAATGGCGTGCTAAGGAAGAGAGGACTTTGCAGGAAATACTTCACATTCCACTTGAGGTCAAATGTTTAAAGCACCCCTTGGAAAAGAGACATTTCTCCGACTGGATGGAAGGTGAATCAAAAGGCAGAGGAGTCACGGCTGTGGCTGAAGGCTGTGGAAGTGAGCCAATCTCTGAAACTTGTAGGGCACAGAACTGAGGATCCTGTTGCCCCATGAGCCTCTAAATCTCCCTTTAATGGGTGGATCACTAAAATATTTCATTAAGATCAGTCGGACTGGAAGTTTAATTGGATCCAAGCAGCATATCTTACAGACAGGCAGAGTTACAGCACCCTATAATGAGTTGCAGTTGGGTAAAATACTGTTTTCGTGAGAATCAAGTAGTTTATTTTCTTTAGTGACACTTTGTTTAATGAAGTCTGCTTTTTTTTACTCATCTACTTTCTGTGTTTTTGTGTGTGTGTGTATATAAACATTACAAAAGCCAACATATTCTATCCCAGTATTACCTGAATGTCCTCCTGCAGCTCCTGCTTGCGCCGGCGGATATTCTCCAGCTCCTGCTGCTCCTCTGGGGTGAGGTCGTCCGGCACTGGAGAGAGATGAGAGAGAAGATGAAGCGTTAGGACAGAGAAGCCCAAAATATAATTCACCTTTATCCTTTTCTATGCATATATATCCCTTGAGGCTAGTCCCTGAGGGTATCTCAGTGCACAAAAATAACATTATACTCCATTATTTTCCTTGACATCAGAGGGTGATGGAATGCCCACGGCGAGAGTTGCGGCGTACGCCACACAGGACATGCAACGACAGTCATGAAAGATTGTTACTCAGCAGCAACTGATACTTGGTCGGAGAGAAGAGGGGGGCAGATCAGACAGTAAACAGTCTCTATCGCCAACAGAAAACCAAGTCTGCAGCAGCCAGGTGCACTTTGAAGGGGATTTAACTTTTGTGTGTAGTCTGTCTGACTAAATGAAAGAGCTCAGGTCAGCCAAGCATCAGCGCCAGAGAAGCACAAATGTGACAGGTCTCCTAGCGCTGCCAGTCTCCCTGTCACTCACACTACAGGCTGTTATAATTAGTCTGTGCCGAGGACTGAGGGGTGAGCAATGTCTCAGCTGATGGGGTTTGTGTGTCTGTGTGTGCGCGACCTCTACCTGCACTCCAAGCATAAAGGGACACTAGTATCAGCACTCTAATCATAAGAGCAGTCCAAGCACAATCCCCGTTTCATTTACTTAAGCACTGCGCTGGATGCATTTTCCCTCGCTTTATTTCAGTCTCTCTGTAAAGTTCTTGCATCAGAACTGCTTGGTAATCCAGGTCCTGATAATGAACTAATAAATGTTTTACACATATGTTACTATGTAGTTACTTTAGAATACAGTGGGTCCACTGGAAACTAGACCCCTGGCAGTATATGCTATCCAAACACACTATTGATCAAGCAAATTATGGGTTCTGGCAAATATGTGTATTTTGAGTAGGTGACGGCATTGTTTAATGATGGAGGTCATATCAAGTATTTCCCATCTCTGAATACTCACTGCTTTTTTTTCCTTCTTCTTCTGTGAAATAAAACAAGACTTCCTTTTGAGTTGTAAGACGTCGACCATTTGGCTCTGTGCTTCAAAATAACTGCTTCAGAGGGGTTTTTGGTGACATTTGCACTAAGACTAGAGCTATTTAGCGCGAGTGACATTTAAACCCCCTAAACTCTCAGAGTGTCATGAGCTGCTCAAGCCATAGCGGTTGTCAGTTGAAGGGTCATCTCTGTTACACAGCGTCTTTTTCTCTGATTCCCCCCAGTGGCCAAGCACAAGCCCCCTCCTGTGACCTCTCGTTCTCCCCTTTATTACCTCAGTAGAAGGGTTCAAAGGTTAAAGGGGTCGAGGCTAGGGCCGACTTGGTGGATCTCTGCACACTGTTAACAGGGTAATGGTTATAGAGTGGTGGAGGCTGAGGGTGGAGGAATATTTGACAGAAGGTCTATAATTACTACTTCCACCAATGAGCCTTTTCCTTCGACCTTTTCTTGTCCTAAATGAATTTAATATTGGTCCCACATAATGTTCAGACGGCGCCGAAATAAAACTCACGACTAACTGAGTGGCTAAACTGTGGACGCCGTGTACCTGCAGTAAAAGGTCACAGGAATGAAGGGGAATAGCTAAACAAAATCTGGCACAGCAATCAATAACGCAAGGACGAGGCCAGCCATCGAAAATGATGAGCTTCATTGGACACACACACACACACAAATACAGCTTATTTCATTTTCCTGTAAAAGGAATAAATCAAAAATCAGACGTCCTCGAGAGAAAATAACATGCTGCATAATGAAGAGCACTTATTTTAATACCAGAGGTATGCTAACCTAAACAACTTGAGGCAAATACCCATGACATTCACTGGAATGTCTGCTAATATGTAACAGGGATAATAGACAATGGAAGACCAAAACAAGAGCCGTATAGCGGGCTGTTCAGGAGTTCCAAAACAAAGCCATGTTGTCTTCCCGTCTTGTTTTCAGACAGCTGGGGGAGCACGGCAGTCCACTGGAGGTTGACCTTTCACACATCATACTTCACAGCCTACAGTATCCTTAGCCAACCAGCCGCATCCATCCAAAGCGTTCAGGGTATCCATGGAAACCATGGTAACCTCTGCTTCTGCTCTCACTTACAGGGGGAGCAACAATATTTGCACATCCTAGTTTTTTGTCAGACAGTTGCATGGAGAGCAGCTCATACTGGAGAAGACGGACCGAGATGCACAACAAGTCACAACACGATGGATCGACTGGATGAGTTAATGTGACACGGAGTGAACCCAGAGCAGGCCATGTGTTCCACAGCGCAAACCAGAGCGACAGAGAAGATGACCTTAAAGGAGGAAGTCCCTTCCTCTTTCTGGAAATATGATGTTAGGTTGGGCGACTGGCAGGCGCTGAAGGGAGCCGCGCCACACAAAACAGGACAGCGGGACCCAACACAACGCCACCGCAGCATTCCTGGCTTAGAGGAGGACCACAAAGTGAAGACACTGACAGGAGAGAGGCAGAAAAGCACTATAATTTGACAGAGGAGACAGAAAGAAACTGAGCAAAGCAACGTCATCGTTTGAAGATGGAAAAACGTCTGTTCACGTGCACAAAGAAGGAGCTGGTATCTTCGCCCAGCGGCAGGACAGATGCAGGCTGACACCCAGGTCCTGTGATTAAAGGGCCACCCTACCACCCCATCTGACGTCAACCACGCCATCAGACTTATTCAGCGAGCCAATCAGGTGTACACGTCACTGCCTTCCTGACTCCACCCAAAACTATCAAACCACATCAGGGAAGGGAAAGGCCCCACCCGCGCATGTGCCAGAGGTGGGCACCAAGTGGGTGTCATTTCCCAGAAAACAGCAAATGACGGGGGGGGGGGGNNGGGGGGGGGGGGGGAACCCATCCACTTAAGTGAATGCTGAGAGCTGGTGCTTTTCCTTCTGTCTGGGAGCACTGTTTGGCTATGGTTCAGCAAACCTCTGCAGTGGTAAGGCCAATGAAAAGAGGCTGTCATCAGAAACAGACAGGAAGTGAGAAAGACAGAAAACAGAAGAAACAGTGATGAGACCCGTTTCTGTAAAAGTGAAAGACAGATTTAATGATATGCTTCTCTTGCTGATGCAGCGACCTTTGAAGAGTAAATGACATGAGTGGAAATGTGCCGTTTTCCCCTCCATAAACACAACACGCGCTATTCCTCACCCGCCCCGTCTACATCTGACTTCAGGAGCCTCTCAGAAGCAGAGAGCCCCAACAGCAATCTGACAGGGGCCAGTTTGTAGTGATTTCCACAGCCTGAAAGAGAAACACGGGCCGCCCACATATTCCCTCCTTCAGGGACTCATGTTGCTTGGAATACAGGTCATTCAGGGAAATAACGCGCACATGGAGGCGTGCAGTCGTGCACAAACAGCAGGGTGTAGTCACATTACACTCACATACACACACATGCAGGACACCCACACATCGACGCCCAGGGCCGACAGAGAGCGTCCCCCGCTGCGCCTGGCACTGTGTCAGCTATCAACACCATCTGACTGGAACTATGACATTCACACTGACTCCCTGACATCACTGCAAACATATCTGTTCGGTTTCAGTTTGAGAAAGGATTAACCACGTTCGTATCGGGAAGAAAAGCAAAACACTTAGCGAGAACAGGATTCTTATTTTAAGAGAAGAAAGGAAAAATGATACTCATTTGAAACCAGGAAATAGCCCTTACCACTAAGTCCTTCATTGGACTGAATAACTTGCTAAGACCAAGTGTGATTTGAAAATCTGAGTGGAGAGCAGATAATGACAATATCCCCATGCTAAGGTACAGACACGAGTGCCCCTTTGCCAAATCTGGGGCAGTATAATCTGAGCTTTGTTCCACCATGCCTAGGCCTTCATTACTACTGAGTGCTGTTTAACCTAAATTTATGACTTGAAACACGCCATTCCCTTAGAGTATAATCACAAACCACTCCTGAATTCTCTAGTCCCTTCAACAAAATAAAAACTTTTCTTGTGGCACTTCTGTGGCTTTAATATTTTTAAATCTGCTTCATTTGAGCCCTAAATCCCATTTAACATCACTATATTTGAGCGCGTATGTCTTTTGCTCTTCAGAGTGCCTGCAGACTTTCTAGACGGGTGAAGCAGTTTTTAGAGAGGGCTGGGTCAGCGGAGAGCACCAGGGACGTGACATCAAGGGAGATACCAATTATAGCTCGCTCTCCCACAGCGGCGGAGCCCACTAATACACATCCTGATTGCCATCCAGGCGAAAGAGGCAGACGTCTCATTTCCACCCAGATCACTGAAGAACTCTCCTTGGAAAATAAGGAAATTAGAATTCTGAGTGCTTGTACGATCTCTCAGCCACCCCCCCTCCCTGCAGATGTGACCCAATTTAGGGAGCTCCTCTCAACGTACAAGGACTGAAAAAAAAAAAAAAAAATCTTATTAACTTAATAAATGTCTACCTAGGCTGCCCCTATTGACACAGCTACTGGACAGGGTGGCAGGATACACACAGAAATGAACCTAAGAGACACAGCTACGGTCTACACAGAGGAGGATGGTGAAGTTAGGGTTTGGTGTGACACAAGCTATTCTCTTTACATCTGCTGTATATCTTTGTGTTTTAGGGTGAAGATTTTACACTAAAATGTGGAATCTTCGCAGCAGCAGACGAAGACATCAGTGAATACAGTTACGCCACCACGCTGCCTGTGATCTGCTGACTGAGGGAATATGCAAAGACGTACACATCCATTTCTGCAGCCACGTGTGTGTGTGTGTGTGTGTGTACACATGACTACATCTTTGATAAAGTGCACACACTGATCAAGGCAGATGAATGACACTAGGGGCAGAAATCCCTCCTGCGTAAGGTGCTACATCTGTTTATAGCTCTCTTTCCCTCCATAGCTTTGTGGAAGGAACAGCCTTCATTTGGTCCTCACTGCTTTCCATTAGGCTTGGTTCTTCCTCCTCAATTATCTCTCTTCTCATCTTCTCCTATCGCTTTTTTACATCTAACC